TAAATAACAGGTTGCTTTTGACCTATTTTTAATCTTGTTAGAAGGAGGTCGGATAAATTCAATTACGTTGCGTAAATAAATGACCAAGAATTGCTCAAATTGCTGTCAATTTATGTATTGATGTTGTTTTTCAAGATTTGGTAGTTTTTATCGCTCCAAGTGTTTTCAATTCGTGGCGCGACGCTCCGAGATTCGTCTGAAATTTTGAGCTTCAAAAGCGGCATTTGGGCGGCGAAGTTCAGCTTTTATCCATGCATTTTCTCGAAAATAAATCGATATTCAGCCAAACGAAGTATGCAGTGCTTTGTTTCACCATAAGGCCTACCTAACTTGAGAATATGAGCCAAATCGATTTTTCGGCTATTGCCACCATATTTTGAAAATGTACGATTTTTGGCCTCATTTCCTCTTAATTCTTCTTGAAAATATCGCGTTTACAATCCTCCACTGTTGAGTTACCAGTCTGGCATGGGTTATGCGTGTGCCTTTTGAGTCGACTTGTGCACCATCAGTTTTCCTTTGTGTAATTACCAGATTTATCTATCTTTCTTTCGTCATTGACGTTATCAGACGAGATCACAGAATTTCCGTTCCTTGGCCCTTGACTTTAGCCGCAAATATAGAATTCACAAGCGCTATCGCAATTTTAACGTTTGTACTTTTATATGAAATCATTTTTGGTACAATCGTACAAAGCAATATTCTCTGAGGTGTCTCGTTAACACAGACCTCGCAAACGCACACCGCACACCGCACACCGCACACCGCACACCGCACACCGCACACCGCACACCGCACACCGCACACCGCACACCTTGAAAACGCACACCTCGAAAAACGTGTATACAGTGTGTAAATTACCAGATTTATCTCTCTTCCTTTTGTCATTGATGTTATCAGACGAGATCTCGGAATTTCCGTTATGCGAAAGCGAAAGTGCCAAGTAAACACTGGACTTTAATTTATATTTAAAATACTGCGTTTACGATCCACCATTGTTGAGTTATCCGTGTGCTTTTTGAGTCGACTTGTGTATGCACTATCAGTTGCTTCACGTTA